TTGGTAAACCAAACCCTCGAGGTTTAACCCCTGTAAACCGCACGTGAAAATCCGACCCAGAAATTCCTCCACGCACCAAATATTACGTACAAAAAAAAAAAGAAAATATTCCAGTTAACAGAGCCTTTCACCCATCAGCCGAATAAAGATACTGAAAGGATTCTAAAAAACCGTCCAAGACTCAGTGATTAACTAGAACGCGCAAATACCCTAAGATAATTTCGGTTAATTTCGGTGTTAAAAAAAGGGGATGAATTTTCACGGGTGTCTGAACAACACGCATCATTTGTTTATTTCCCCTCTCAATCACGAAAAATTGCGCTAATTAATAACCAGTGCGAATTAACAACTCGTTCCCTCCCCTCTATTTCGTCACTCCTCGTTTTTTTAAAACCATTAGATGAGAAGAAAATGTTATTACAAAATTGCCTCAATCATCAGCAATCGACAGCAACAAATCCCCCAAATACCAAAAATAAACAATAAAAATGAGAACAATTGTGAAAAGAGGATTGCAATCGTAATTGGAAATGCATTGTGATTGAAAAAGTAGTGAATTAACTGAGGATTGGGTACGAAAATTTGTCATCAAAATCCGGCGATAGATTACACCCCAGAGGGCCAATGATTTTTCGTATGAATGAAAATTGCCTGTCCTAACGTATGGAAGTACTTGGATGATTATTAATATAATATAGCCCTGATTGCGCTGGATGGTATAGAAATATATATGGGAACGCAATTTCAACCAATAAATGCATCGTAGTGCGGGAATAATGCTGGTACACCCGGGACACGTTTTGCGAGAGCAACTCGATGACACCCTGACGATTGGAGGGGTTGATATACCAGGGGAAATGTCCGAGGGCCAATGAGTGGACGATTCACCTGCGTTGAAACCGGAATTTCCATTCTCGATCATCAGAGAGAGAAATACTAAATGCCAAGTTGATGAGGAGGAAAAAGGGGCAAATTTCACTACACCATTCGCATTAAATATACACACTGATTTGTCCACCAGCGAATTGTCACCTCTGATAGCATCCCTTCTCCTATCTCAATTCAATTTTTCCTCTTTTTTTTTTTCTCGCAGTGGATGAAACCGTCATTTTACCGGAATTTTTCGTCGTTTCTTGGAAAATTGACGGTATAAATTTCCCTGAATCTATCAACGATTTTATAAGAGAGAAAATGTTTCGTGGGAGGGATTAAATCCTTTTCACATTCTCGATTCAATTTTAATGGTCTTTAAATATTATATTAATTTGTCATTAATCCGTCATTTTATCAGAATCTTTCGTTGATTTTTGGGGAAATTAATATTCCCCAGAATTTGAAAGACGAATTGTTAAGTGGTGAAATGTTTAATTCAGATGATATTTCGAAATGTTTTGAAGAAAAAACTAAAGCGCTCGATTAAGTCCCGTCCCCTGAATGATTGATGATGACAAATTAGATTCGCACAAATGGAAAAATCGATATGTGTTAATAAATTGGCGGACTTTTCGACTGCCCGTTAAAAATTCATGAATTAATGTCACACGATCGAGCCGAAGAGTTGGCAGATCGATGAATATTTTAATGATGCGTGAGATAAAAATTATAATCGACGGCAGTTTGACGAGTAAGTCGGATATTTTTCCAACAAAGAACAGATTGTTATCACATTCCACTTGATCTAGCTCGCACCGATAATCATAATTTCAATTATCATACATAAATATGTATAGAAATTAATGTAAGACCTTGAGCCTGATAGTGGGATGTATAAAAAAAAAATTGGAACAATATAAATAAAAAAAGAAATTTGCCAACCCATTAAAATGCAAATTCTTCCTTCATTACACACGGCACACCGATAACCTCTAGTTTATCGATTAAAACGGATGTTTTCCAAGGTGCAATTACAATGTGCAATAATAACCGATTGTTTCGCCATTTCCCTTTCAATTTTCTCCAGTCCCAACCCAACGATTTATCATTTATTACTTGTCGTGCTTACAATTCGCGAGGTATCGCTGTATTTTATAAACCAACACCCGTCAAACATTTTCATAAAAAAAAAGAAAAGAAAAAAGAAAGAAATCACAATTTGTTTGCTACACCCAAGAATTCCATTGTCCCGATTTACACCGAAACAATAATAATATTTTCTATTTATTCATTCCCCGGAATTTTTTTTTTCATCCTTCACTCTATCAGAAACAATTTATCAAGCTTGACACAATATTATCATCTTCAACGCGACGTGAAACCTGTTTAAATAGTCTTCTCACGTGTTATTCATCATCTCGGTGACATTATTTCTAATATCGATGATAATGTGAGTGACATCAACGCTGTTCTATGATTCTGGGTTACGATACAGAGTTAAACACTGTTTTTAATGATTCAGGGTGCGATTCCGATCCTCGAGATAATCCCTGAAATACCAACGCTAATTTTCAGAATGTTGAATTTATTTGAAAAGACGGTTTCATGAATGAAATGGTGTTTTGCAAAGTGCTTGCCAGGGAGAATTGGGTGGAACTCTTGAACTATTCATTCGCCATGGATATTGCCTCGACAAGAAATTCCCCACCGAGATTTAACCGCACGTTAAACAATTATAAACAATTGGACATGAAGAAACGAGAAAACAGGCAAAAAAATTCTATTTCCAGAGACTAATTCCTCATTTAAAAATTCTTACCGAATTTCGATAGAGAAGTTGGTGTCCAAAAATTACGGAATGTTATGGAGTGAAAGATGATTTGTTCTCCTAAGAATATCAATAATTGACTGAAATATATATTTTCTCTCTGGGTAATGAGCTGAATGGAATGGAATATCGACTCCTGACGAACGCAGAATCAGCGAAAAAAAGGGAAAAATGGTAAAGACTCGGATGGCAACAAGAAGAGCCCCAGAGAGTGGATATACGACATCAATGGCGGGTGGGGCGAAAGAGCCCGAATCGATTGTGCCAACATTAACGTTGAGGAACAAAAAAAAACAGTAATTTACTTAGTAAAACATAAAGCCGCGGTGGCCAGCGAAGGAAGGCAAACACATTAAACATTTAGAGGGCATAATAACTCGCGGCATACGTAATACGGCCGGCGCCCTTTTCGCTGATGTCAATGAATAATGTACATACACCCGAGGTACATGACGCGCCCATATAATTTTTTTTTATAATTTCTTTTACCATTGCATTATTACAGGGCAGCAACAAGAGAAGGAATCCCTCATGAATTTTCATTCGCCTTTTCAAAAACATTTTTCTTCCCAGGAAAATCGAGTAATTTAGTATTGTTGGTAATTGCAAAAAATTGGGACCTTAAATCCATTTTTTTTTATTATCAATAGCCTCGATACTCTGGAATTGACGGAAAAATATTCGAGAATTTAACATCTTCATGTTAAGTGCGAAATTATGAGTTCCACAGAGAATGAATAATTTTTCAATGAGTCGTTGTCAATTTGACATTTTATAACAGCTGTTAAAGGTAAAGTAGAAGGTGAATCGATTGACAGATAGTCACGTTCATTAATTCCCATCAAAACAGAATCGAGATGCAGTGAATCTCGTTGAAAATAAAAAAAATCCTTTCCCTCAGTGAACCCTCCAAGATTTAAGACCTTAATATCGCGCTCACATCACCATTGAATATCGAAAAGAGTATCTCCACCCCATAAAACCATCCAATTTTCCTGGGCGTAATAATTTCCCCTCACCCTCCGAGCTATTTTACCCCCCTATGTAATTCTATGCATAAATTACCCCATAGGCCGTCAAATTTACGATTGTTCAGTTGAAAAAGAAAAAAGAAATTAATAATAAAAAATGAGGGGATGACCAGTAAAACCATTCCGAATCGTAAAACAAAACAAAAGGCCAAAGTTGAATGCAAAATGCCGTACGTTATTTACAAAATTAATATCGCGAAGAGCGGAAAGCCCGCGTTTGGCAGAAAAAAAAAGAGAATCATAATAAAAATGCCTGTTAAATCTAGGAACCAACGAAAGTTGAAAATTTACAGCCCCGACATATTGGCTGCGAAAGCACGGGAAATTAAGGCTAGTAAAACACCCGACTGACACCCCAGCAACTGCCCAACCCCTATTCCATAAACGATCCAACCCCGGAGTTAAATGCACCGACGAAACGAAATATCCGTAAAAAAGAAAAAATTAAAAAATGAAGTGGATTTTGGAAAGACACCAGAAAACTCCGCAGCCAAGTGTTCCTCACCTCCCAGAAATCATCCATTAAATTACTATTTCCAAATGCCCTAATGTACGTTATTCCCTGCCAACGACTCCCCACCAACTTTTTCAACTTTACCAAAATTTATTTACCCACCCCAATGGCGATATTCCCAATAATTTTTCAAATACGATAAAGCAGATTGAATTTTTTTTCTTCAAGACTCGCGAGTGCTTCGCGACATCTCTTGGAATGACGAAGAATCATTAAAATGGAGCCAAAAACATTATTGTTGTCATTTAACTTTTTAACCGGCACTGATTGACAACAAATTCCTGACTTTTTTATGCTCACGACAAAGGGGTGGAATTTGAATTCGCCTCACGCAAGGCAAATTTCCGGATTAGCAGGTGTAGATCAACTGACAGGGCTGGAGAGAGTGGAAATATACCAATAAAAAATATAAATATTCGTCTTAAAATTTAATGCGACTGGTTGAAAGCGTTTGCACGTCATGCACGACACAACCACTTGTGGATTGTGCCACTGAGGCACGTTTTACTTCGACAACAGTACGTCAAACTTTTTCAGGCAAAAAAAACCATCATCCACCCTCTCCAGGGCTCTAACCCCTCGTGTCCCTCATCCTCAGGTTAAATACCGGGATTCAGAGAGGGGATTTGAGGGATTTGGGACGATATCCCAGTGAATTTGGTCCATTTTCACGTGATATATTTCCCATGGGCCAACGCCGAGTCGACAATTCCCAGAGATTCACCCCAAACTTACGAAAATATCATCAAATTACCTTGCATTCACCCTGAAGATGCTGCCTATCCTGGTTATTCCTCGGTTTCACTCACTCACTTATTAAATCACTGCTTAATCCAACGAAATTTTGTTGATTTCACTGGAGCAAATGTTAGTACACAACCACCAAATGTATACATCACAACTTGTGGCGCCACCCGTTCGCTCGAGGGAAAACCACAAACATCGATGACTCACTCGGTAAAGTAAATCCCTGCAACAACCAAATGGTACATTATTCCTCTTTTACAGTTTTCCCACGGAATATTGGAGATGGTAATTATTTTTAATTACAGGATTGACTGGCTGAGCTGACGGCGAAATTAATTATCTTCTGCGCAGAGCAATCTTTTTTTTTTATCGTTTCTGAACTTTTGAAAGTGCATTATTTACATTTTTCTATTTTTCAACAATCGCGGCAATCGAATAATTGCTGAATTAATTGATTTATCTATTTATGTTTACTAAAACGGAAAAATTAAATGTGCACTAATAAAAAAAAATTCCTTTGCATTAATTCATTAACTTCTGACCGGGTTATTATTGTAATTATGATAATTAAAAAATAATTTCTGATTATTATTAACTATAATGATAACAATAATCACAATGCACAACAACGCCTACTAATTTTCAAGCATTAAATAAATTATATGAAGGAAAATTGAATTTAAAAAATTCGGGAGACAATAGATAATAATAATAATTAATAAATTAACGAATATAGATATTGCGATTATTCGTTGTAAATAAGATGAACTAATTATTCCACAGATGCCCCATTGAGAAAGTAAACAATGATCTAGTGGTTCGAAGTCTATCTAGTTTCAAAACAGTTCAAAGTCAACAGTTGATTTTTAAAAAAATCCGATTTCCCTATCACACGCCGCCAAAAAAATGCGCAATGCCAGCAAACCTATCATTATCATCTCCCTCCTTTCCCATAATTATTCCTCGAATATCTAAGCAACGGAATTTCCCAATTGATCGCCGGTTTATTGGAGTGTGTGAGATTTGATTACGCGTGTCGACAATATGACGTATTTGGGGGCTCGACTGTTGTATAAACGATAAACCGGTATCTCCCGAAACTCTTCGAATCTATCGAAATTCATTCCGTCTCGATAGACTGACGATTTCGATAGAAAAGCCACTACAGAAAACTCCCACGCGACCTTTCAATTTAAAAACCCGGAAATTCCTGAAAAATCCCGCGAAATTCAATTTCTCTCAGAAAAAAAAAATGCGGAATAATTCTTTCGCGATATTGAAAAACATTGAACATGTCATCACGATTATTGTTTTTCATCGGATTAAAAAATCTGTTTGGTCTTCATGTGATTGAAGCTGTTGGAAAATAATTCCCCTAGGATCTTCAGAGGAATCGACTTTGTTATTTTTCTACCGATTGCAAAAATCGCACTATCGTTGTTCGACAATGGAGGTTCGAGGGAGAATTATAAAAAAACAGAAGAATTATTGGTTATTGCTAAATATCTCTGCATGTGAGAAGATAAGAGGCTCCCCTGCGATGAAACTGTCTTACAACATGGAAATAATCATTTAACCTTTGTATATGGCTCACCCCATGACACGAGTGGGTTATTAGCTATTTACGATATTTTCTGTAACCGAAATTATTCCATCACCTCAATGGAAGTGTAACCAAAAATTCAGAATTAATACCCCAAAATTGCCGGGGAATTCCCGAGGAATTCGCCGGTTTTTGAAACCGTCGATTGGACTTATTTTTCACTGTTATCACTCAATAAATATTTGAATTTACTCAATTGACTTTCATATAGATCGGTAGAAGTGAACTGGATCGAACTGGATCGACGAGTCCGCCTGTTTAGATATTTTATTCTAAAGACTGATTATTAAGTATGAGGCAATAATTGGGCAATGGTTGGACCAATGCAAATGCGACTGTTGCAATTTTCCTCGATTTAATTCGTGGCAATTAAATCGAACAATCGCTGACCGATTTATTTCCTATCATATCCTTCCTCATTGTCTCCGATTGTATCACCACAGGTACAAGTCCAAAATCCATCGAGAGCTATGATTTAATTACTCAAGAGTGATCATTTTTCCAGCTACAGTTCCACAATTAATCGTGTTAATTAAACGAGGTCATCATCGGTTGCAATTTTTCGTGATACGCAGCTCGCTAGGAACAAAGATTGATCTGTCAATCTAATCTCTGGGGCATTCTCGATACAAGTGGATGATCGGATCAAGGTACAAGTGAATCAAGACATTGAATAAAATAGAAGCTCGTGTCAGAATTAAGCTGGATGTAAATGAAATTCGATAAACAATGTCACAGCTGATTACGTGGTAGCTGATTGCATGGAGAATTGAGAGTAAATACTCATTGAGATCGTATGATCTATTTCTACAGCGGTCTCAGATGTACACAAACAACCGCAAATTCAAAACAGGAATATTGACAGGTTTTTATGGCGCATTGTGCAATGAATCGAGAATAGAATCTTCAATAAATAACTGATAATTATTTCAGTGATGAATAATAAATTATTCCGGTAATTGTAAAGCAAATAATTGCAATCCAATCAGTAATTATAAATAATTAATTATAAACATTGAGAGGATTGATTGATTGAATGGATAAAGAAAGAGTAATGAATATTGTATCGAAATAAAATGATGTACGATTATTACCAAATGCAAAATGATATTTTCATACTATTGATCGAGATCGAGATCGTCGAATCGTAATTTTCCTTCCACCACTCAAAATCTTTCCTCAATGATTCCGAAATATCTTGCCCCGGGTGCCAATCAAAAATTACGTAATAAAATTAAATGAAATTCAAAGTTATCTCCGCGATAACTGAAATAACCGAACCTCCCGATTTTAATTTTATATCACCTAAACAAGTAACTCAGAGTAATTATCAGCAGTAGACTCCACAACCGGACTACGGACTCTCATATCTCAAGGGTTCCTATTTAAAACACGTGGTGGATTGACACTCCTTGACCTCCAATCTCATGTTCAATGAAAAATCACGCTAATTAGACCAGTCTAAAACCCCAGCGAAATCAGTATCCAATTAAGAAAATTCATCTTTGAAAAAGGAGTAATTAACTGAAAGCTATCAGTCATTTCCCCGGGGTAAATAAATTTTCAAGCATAAACGACGAAAGAAATGCCAAGTCCAGTTCGAAAGTTCATGGACCCTATCTTCCCCCTCCTGATCTGATGAAAAACGAGTCGATGACAGCGGAATCATCGATAAACTGAAGCCCAAGTGGCAGCAAAATTTTCAGCCATTCGATATCGATACACTTTGGAGGATAAATCGAATTATTCCGATTGGTGGGTGATTGTTGTCCCCACCTCAACCCATCAACAACATCAAACAAATCTTACATCATCCCGATAAATAGTGCCCCCCAGCCGTTATCACTGGTTCCCTAAAAATTCATCAACAAATTCATCCAAATAAATTCCCCGGATGTTTGATAAACTGTTGCTTAGACCACTCGCCCCAACAATCAAAAATAAAAGATAATGAGGAATGCCGATGCATCGAGACGGCCAGTAAAAATAGAAGAGAGTGAGGGGGGCCAACGGTTTCGTATAAAACCGGGGGACGAGCGTTACATTTATTGACTGTGTTGAAAGGAACCGATCGAGAAGTGCGTTCAGTCCGGTTTTCACCGTTGGCATTAAATCGTGCGTCCACCATATGATCCACCTGGAGATGCTGTGAACCAAGAAATTCCATCTGAATGACCAATCAGAGAAGAGCCTGGAGGGGGCTGGAAGATTGACACGCGTAAAACGGTTAAAAAGCCGATATATTTCATCAGCTGGTACCACCACTGGAGCAACCAACACATCAGCTTGCGTCACGCATCAACTTCCCCACCACAAATTTTATTTTATCACCGGAAATCAAAGCTATTGGAAACACCAGCCAATCAGCTCTCCGATAACCGAGGGGCTCGTCACTATCTGGTGGGGAAGACAAAGTCAGCTAGAGAAAAATAAATAAATAAAAAACAAGGAGGAAGGGATCCCTCGACCCTCGGACTCTGGATTGTTGATCAACGTGTATAAAAGACGAGGAGACCAAGTGCCAAAATGCCAAACATTGGATGGATCATTGCCAGACAATCTGGTACCATTAGTGCCACTGGTTGTCTAAGGGATACCACGAGATTACGAGAATTCTCCACGATTATTTCGAGAAATAACTGTGGATATACCAACAGATGCACAAGACTCCTGAGGACAGTTGATTACGGTGTTTGGGGTTCTGTTGCAAGACCACAGAGATTCTCGGTTTTTACACATCGCGTTGCTGCCAAGTACAGTAAATCATCCAGAATGCCGTACCTAGTTGACAAGCTGTATCCACAGTAAGTAGAACGGGATATTTTTATTTACTCCGGTGCAGTCATTAAAACGTCTCATCCCACCTCGTCCACTCCTTTTTTGTCATTTCCATTGTCTCCATCAGTTGTCGATATTCTCCAAATACCAAGTGCATTATATCGAGTTCTTTTTAAAATTGTCTCCGTCAGTAATGGGTCAATCCATATCGTGGCATTGACCGCTTCCAACGGCTTCGCTTTCACTCTCGAATGATCCAAGACTCTCGGAGAAGTCTGTAATTATCGTTCACCTATTCGAGAAGTCGTAGAAAGTTTTTAATCAACCGCTATCACTTGTGGATGGAAATTACCGGAGGAATTACCCGGGGATGACAATTATTGGTTTTTTTTTCAGGGTGACGAGCCTGATGGCGACGCAGGCAACAAAGAGCGCAAGCTCCATTGAAGATGTTGATGATCACATCGGTGGGGTGCCCATCGTCAATAAATTGACGGTTCCCCTGGCACCTAAGGTCAGGGCTTATGTCGAGGAATGTATTAAACTCTGCAAACCCGACGAGGTGTACGTCTGCGACGGCAGTGACGCCGAGAATAATCTTCTACTGAAGATGCTGGAGAAGAAAGGATCTGTCGAACGTCTCTCGAAATACGAGAACTGGTAAATTTCCAATTAAATCAATACGTCCAAGTCTAATTAATCCAGAATAATTCCAAACCATTAACAAAATTTATCCAAAATGACCGAATATTCGAAATCACCCGGTTTTCGAGGAATATCTCTGAATCTCCGAGAGATACCGAAATTCTTCTAGAAACCATTTTTGTAGATCTTATTCTGTTCTACTCGAAAGGTTCGAAGCAAAAATTCGCTATATCTATTAGTTTGTGAAATATTCCTTGAAAACCCGATGGATGGACACGTCAACTTGTTGTTCGTCGCAGATAAATGACTGATTTTTCCTTGAACATGAAGACCCGACGGTATCGGTACATAATTGCATTTCATTTAGTTATTTCTGTATATCAGTTGGTTGGCAAGAACAAATCCAGCGGATGTGGCGCGTGTGGAGAGTCGTACATTCATAAGTACTGAATCGAAAAACGAGACAATTCCTACGCCCCGAGAAGGTGTGAAAGGCACTCTGGGTAACTGGATAAGTCCTAAGAACATGGACCAGGCCATTGTCGAGCGTTTTCCTGGTTGTATGAAAGGTATTAACGATTCGTTGAATCATCAATTGTCTCTTTGTAACGCAATTATCCTCGTCACAGGTCGCACCATGTACGTTATTCCCTTCAGCATGGGTCCAATAGGTTCACCACTATCCAAAATTGGAATTGAAATCACTGATTCAGCCTACGTCGTGTGCTCTATGAAAATAATGACGCGTATGGGATCACGAGTGCTCGATTCTCTCGGAAAAGACGACTTTGTCAAGTGTCTGCACTCAGTTGGAGTACCGAGCAATGATTCTCAAGTTAAGATAAAATCATCGTGGCCTTGCGATCCCGACAGAACGATTATTCTGCACAGACCAGATAAAAACGAGATTGTCTCGTATGGAAGTGGATATGGAGGTAACTCACTCCTGGGAAAGAAGTGTTTTGCCTTGAGGATTGGATCTACTATTGCCAAGAGAGAGGGATGGCTAGCAGAACACATGCTGGTAATTATCCATCAGAATTCACTCTAGAATTCTCTCTGGAAATCTCTCCAGAATTCTGCGCACAATTTCAATTTTTTCTCCGTCTGTTTTTCGCCGAAAACTCGAAATCCAAGAAAGATAACAATATTTTCATATATACCTTTTTTATAGCTCTCATTTTTTTCTATAAAAAATGTGTATACAAAAAAATCGCTATGGTCCTCCAATTCCGAGATATCGACTGGAGACGGAAACTTGTAAACGAAATGAATTGTAAGAGAACTTGAAGAGAATCCAAATAGAGTTTTGATCGAGGTTTAAACAGTTGTTCCGTCAGTTCGGTGCATGCGTGACGTAATGAAGAATACTTTTAGATTCTAGGTATAACAAATCCAAAAGGAAAAAAACGTTACATCGCAGCGGCATTTCCAAGTGCCTGTGGAAAAACAAATCTCGCAATGATGCAACCAACACTACCAGGTTACAAAATCGAGTGCGTCGGTGACGACATCGCCTGGATGAGATTCGACAAGAAGGGAAGACTGCGTGCAATTAATCCGGAGAATGGATTTTTCGGTGTTGCCCCAGGCACATCGTCATCAACAAATCCCAACGCGATGAAGACTATTTTCAAGAATACCCTGTTTACTAATGTGGCACGTACGAGTGACGGTGGTGTCTACTGGGAGGGTATGGAGAAGGAAATATCGAATGACGTTGAAATAACGGATTGGCACGGAAATCCCTGGTCAAGGGATTCAAAGACACCTGCTGCACATCCAAACTCAAGATTCTGCACTCCGGCTAATCAATGTCCAATAATCGATTCAGATTGGGAAAATCCAGAGGGTGTACCGATTGATGCTATTCTCTTTGGTGGCCGAAGGCCCCAGGGAGTTCCACTTGTATATCAAGCAAGAAATTGGCAGCACGGAGTGTTCATTGGAGCTACTATGAGATCAGAAGCCACTGCTGCTGCCGAGCACAAGGTGAGAGTCAATTATCATTAGATCGGTACATCGATCCTCATTTTTAACCACACGCTCAACGGATTTCACACCCTCCAGGGCACCATCCCTTATTTCTCATCGGAATTACAATGAATTTGTGAGGAAACTAATTCTCCCTGTCACCAGCTAACTATCATAATCAATCATTGAATAGATAAATGTATCGATGGAGTTGACAATTTTGTAATTAAAATGGAATCGTTTTTTAATTAATTAATTATTCTATTTCTCTTGATGACAGGCTAAAGTAATAATGAACGATCCCTTCGCGATGAGGCCCTTCTTCGGGTACAATTTCGGTAATTACCTCAACCACTGGCTGAGCATGTCTAGAATTCAAGACGCTAAACTCCCAGCGATCTTCCACGTCAACTGGTTCAGAAAAGGTTCGGACAATAAATTCCTGTGGCCAGGATTTGGTGAGAACTCTCGAGTTCTCGATTGGATCCTTCGTAGAATCGAAGGAGAGGACATTGCAGTGGAATCACCGATCGGTTTACTCCCGAAAATCAATTCCCTGGATCTAAACGGCCTCCAGGAGAAGGTGGATCTCCAGGAGTTATTCAGACTGCCAAAAGACTTTTGGAAGCAAGAGACTGCGGAGCTCAGGGATTACCTCGATGCTCAAGTTGGACGGGATATTCCCAAAGCCATCATTGAGGAGCTCAATAATCTCGAGAAAAATATATCCAAACTCGAGTAAATTCTCACAAGACGATGAACATTCCGTTAAAACGAAACAGATGTTTCGTGTATATTTGTATATAGTATTAAATCCATTTATACGAACGAGAATATAGCGAAAATGTTATTTTAATACGTGATACTTAACGATTACTGTGACTATGATGATATTTATTAAGATAATCCGCACTGGAGTCTGTAATACTCCCATTGTGAATGATATTTATGCGCAGAGAACAAGCATTTCTTACTTTCAAGAAAAGTATTTTAATTATTTCAACACCAAGTCCTAATTGCCTTTTCCCTCAAAATTCTACAGAATAAATTATTCGCTATCAACAGTTCCTCTAATAAACTCTAATTAATTAATCCTTCAATTTCTGTCATTGATTCGGAATTCGAATAATAATTTCTATATTCACTAGATCAATTCGATCTAGAAGTTTCCGATCGATGGTTTCGATAAAAACGAAAGGAACGATAACTACAACTAATTAATAAAAAGGGAACAGTAAAAGCGAGAATTAATTACTTGAAACCGATTTTCCTATGCAATTTATCGACGAAGGGAATATTATGGAGTGTCGCTGATGTACCGACAGTAAATACTATTCCTGACGATCGGTAATTCACTCTCCGATGAGAATCCCCAGGAGACGACGCACCAGGTGGCGTTGACGAATGAGAAAAGAGGATTCGAAGGATTCGAAATATGAATTATCGGTTTGATTGAATTAAATCGACTAATCGGCTCGATAAAAATGATCAAACAAAACAGAAGAGAAGTTTCTCGGATGATCGAGATAATTGGAAGAGTCAGTTCGAGGGAATTTTTCCAATGGAGAATATAGTCTGTCTTCGAATACAGGAGTGCCGATAATTTATTGGGAAAGATGCGGGTGCCGCAGGTTGCAAACACACGTGTACCAAAAAAAGATGCGGGGATAGTGACATGTGCAATGGTTATCGTCACAGCTGCACCGGGAAGTACTTAACGATTCACATGAAGAAGCCAAGATTGTGGTGGGTTACAATGGAGTCCATAAGCTCGCATGGAGATCGGTATTTACGATTCAAGAGAAATCCCTCCCCAGTTACCGTCAATCCGTTATAATTTCACCGCTAATAGAATCCAAGATTTTGTTCGAATGATCGTGCAACGCATCCTCAAGGCATTCATTCCGTTAATAAATAAAATCATCTGATCTCGTTGAGTCAAGACCGTTTTTTCATCACCGGTATGCGTTGTCCATTCTAATTAATTACATGACGAGTTATTTTCACCGATTTACTCGATTGATTCGGGTTTAATGGAAATGCTTGTAGAAATTGAATTGAATTTGACGCAAAAACAATCATTGAAACTCGACTCGCGTGGATCTTCGATGGTGCAATCGTTTATTCCACGAAAGAGGTACCATAATGGCGGCGATTCTTCGCAGTTGAAAAATCGTTTGAATCTCTCATTTACACGCACTCACGGCTAATTTTCCGATTTTTTCGTTCCATTTTTTACCGATAACTGACAACTGAATTCAATTAATCTCAATCAATCAGAGTAAATCATTTTTTTAATGGGTTTTTAAACAATTACTCGCACACATGCGTGGGAGAGTGCAACGCGTCAACTTGTGTCATAAAAAAAAAATCCTATATCCTGCGTAGAAATTCATTCGCGATAATAGTATGTCACTCGGTACGAAGACAATCGCGGAAGCGCATGTCCTCCGGTATGAAATTATATGTGTCCTGAAAGAAGGGGGGAAAGCTAACGGAATGGGAAACAATATTTTAAACTGGCAATGGCCATCGAGGCGATCTCTCCCCCGTTCAATTTCGTGGAGAAAATAAAAAACTAAATAATTGGTGAAAACCGTCGATGGAGAGTACTCGGGGTTACGATACCTCGTCGATTACGAAATCGTTTCTCCCCGATTGAAAGAAAGAGGAATTGCGTGGGTGCCTACACGAATTTTAATCGAAATGAAAGGACTTTCGACATGATCTCTAATAAATTGTTCATCAACTCCGTAATTTTCGACCTGAGATGATGGGATTGCAATTTATTAAAAACTTTTCATTAAATTCGTTTCCAGGCGATAACACATCCGTCCAGAGTCGATTGAGCTATCGATTCAACTGGATCGATTGTCCTTTTATCGAATCGAAGAGAAGTTTTTAAAAAATTACCTCGCAACTCGGCACCGATCTACCATTGGAAGTTGTTTATACACCAGAGAATTCTCTTTACGGTTGTGTCTCTCTACTTATGGCAACAAAAAGGCCAGACTCATTGTTTCTCACTTGTGTATTGACTATTATCAGTAAATCCGGCTTACCATATTGGTCACCAATATCCCTGGCGTCACGTCCTTGTTCGTTTGCAAGTGGTATATTCGTCGTTGGTCATCCGAATCATCTTTCCCTGGTGTCCAAGTTTGGATTCGCCCACCCCAGTCGACGATGCCAGTCGCATGCGTAAAATCCATCGTCCAGAGGATCACTGCAATTTTTATTTTATTTTATTTATTTTTAGAATGCAGTCTGCCTTAACTCAGGGGCACAAATTAATGTGAAGCGCAAGTTAAGGAGGGAAGTTAGTCTCTGGTAGACACTGGGAAAAAATATTACTCCTGAATCAATTTACGTATGTCTACTATATATATTAAAATTTATTGAAATATGAACTGAATTAGGGATTATTTTAATTATTTTTGGTATTGAAATTGAGAATTCAGAGAAATTCAAAATCGAAAATTACTGACTTCTCAATAAATCGAGTAATTAATCGATAAATAAATTCCCAAAAATTTAATGTCTTCAATTTCATGAAATTTCCAGTAAGATAGATGTCCCCCAAGAATAATAATCACTTTAAATCAATTAAATAGAAATGGATAAATCCAAATGAGGGAAAAATCCGGGAATTTCATCGATGAAATTGGAGAAGAAATGCAATTTTGAGAGCGACTTGACACAGATATAATATATAAACGATGAAGAAATCATTAGAGTGTAGTATTGGAGAGGCCTCTGTGCTTAACACTCCCAGTCAAGCCCAATATTCCCCGATAACCCGCACCTACACAAAGAATCGCGTTTGAATCAATTGGTTACACGACGACAAAAACGGTACGTGTCGGTGGTTCTCCAACAATCCCAAGAAGAGAAGATGTTACGTGCCCGCACGTTAATCCGTGATACGAATGTTTGATCGGGATGGACATTTGGATTTTCTCTCCTCCCATTGCATGTCACTCCTGCATGAAGCCCTGAAGGAGGGGTACCAGGAGGAATCAGTGGAGAAAAGGTGTACAATCGATTGAACATTCAGGGGGAACCAACTCCACCACGGAAGAGACACTGATTCCCCTTCTGGATCTCCAATTGTTCTCAGGACACGTACGTGTCCCCATACACGTACCCGGGGATACGAATGAGAGTTCTCCTCGGCGAAATTCGTGTAGACGTCTGTCATCTCTCAGAATATTGATTATCAATCGAAAAATATTCTAATTAGAAACGAGACTTCGAGGACACCCAGACAATATCCACTAGACTCAGTAAAAACCCAAATTTTCCTCATTCTTCAGGGACTAGTTCCTAATTTCGAAGACAAGTCTCACGTCCTGGTTTAGCATAAATTTTTTAATGATCATAATTAAATTGTTGGTAACAAAAGGGTATTGCCACCTGTGGTATGTCCTCTGGGATAAACCAATACAGCCCATGTGCACTCTCATTCACCTTGCAAGATCGAAAAAAGGAAGAGGGAAGAGAAAAAAAATTTTTCAACACCACCTGCCACTTTTATTCTGTCCTCTCGAACAAAGCTACACCGTCTGATACACCACGGCTCTGAAAGAGGAGTCGGATTTTTGGTCCTTGAATGAGCTTGTGGCATCCGGATGTGAAATCTCGGCTTGAGGTGGACCAAAGGTTTGAAACAAATTTTAAACCTCCGGAGGCAATCGACTGAGCATCCGCCATCCAACAGATATCACACGCAAGCAAAAAAAAAAAAACACCCGCACTTGTATGCACTGGGTATGATATATATTGCGTATCCTGCTACTCCGTTACATAAAAAATGCACGACATGTACCGTATGTAACTGTACGTCAGTGCGAGAGGAATCAAAATTCGATTAATAATGGGTTTGTCTAGCTGGGGGATTTTCTTTTTTTTTATTTCAGTCACAATGTCTCGGGAATTTTTGAATTGTGGGAGAATTTTATTTTGAGGGGAAATCGTTCTTCAATTTATCGCTTATTCCGAATGAATTTCCAGGAATTCCTTTGATAATTGAATTACTACAATAGGCTGACTCTGTTAATAAATTCCAGTGGGAATTCTCCAAATAAATAATTTCTTCGAAGATAAAAGAAAAACTCACCAGTTACAAATTAATAAAACATTGACAGTGAATTCTAGTAGAAATTCCCCAAATAATTAATTCGCGGAATTATAAATAGAAATTCCCACCTGAATTCCTCTAATAATAGAATTATTAGAATATTCCGAATCCTCTGTCAATAAATTCCATTGGAAATCCTTCAAACGAATAATTCCTCCACCGATAAAATAAAAACTCACAACTTCGAAATTCCCAAGACATTATCAATGAATTCTAAAACAAATTCCCCATCTAAATAATTCGCGGAATGACAGAATAAAATCTCGGAAGCTATAAATTCCCAAGACTTCGGCCACTAAATTCGAGCGCAAGGTTGTTATAAATTCCGCTAAAAGCCAAAAAAAAAAAGGCGGAGGAAAACGTCAAAAATTTCGCAATAAACTAAGGAGCTCGAAATAAGCAGCTGGACCGTGACTGGTTATTTTTATTATCCTCATACCTCCCTGCACATGGAGGCGCGTGCCGGTCTCAAAGATGATGTGGCCAGCTGTCGAGCATCAAAATGAGATCTCGTCAGCACCCCCCCTCACCCCGGTGGCAAAAAAAAAAATTCCCCCGATAACAAGACCAATAAAAAATTAACGTATCATTGACAAATTGACATTGTCCACTCGACATACGCGAAAATCGATATTAGCGACTCTATAAGCGTTGCACTTAGTCATCCGTTTCGGATGTGTGTCCGATACCTCGTCGGGGATGTGGTTTGCGGCTTACATCCAACTTTATATCGGATATTCCGTATGATTCGTCTAGCATGTGAACTCGTGTACATGTATGTATGTAATGTGTAAGAGCGCCCTGGAGTCTTGATTCACTCGGTGGATCGATCGGCAGTCGACTCAGGTGCACGCTGAATTCTTATGCTAATGCGAGAAAGGAACCGAGAAAACAATACAATTCAAGACTCTTCTATCTTCTTTTCTTTTCTCCTTTGGACTTCTTTTATCCACTATTTTTTTTAACATCGTGTTCTGTATTCCGTGTTTTCTGCTTTGGGTATTAAACAGAGGGAATCAAGAGTCGTGAGATGAGTATCGCGATCTTTATCGGCCATTTGGGTTAATTTTTTTGATAACTGCATCATTTGACGGGGATATTAATTGTTTTAGTGTCAAGGATTGGTTGGAAATTTTTTATATTTTTCATCGATATTTGTTGAATTAAACGGATATTAAAAATTCAGAGTATTTTGGGCTGAGATTTGACGTGTTATTTCAGTTGATATTTCCCCTGACAAGGAAATTATCAATTTTAATTATAAATATAATCAGGGTTTTATCCCTGAATAATCTGAGAATCGACGCCATAATCAATTTTTTAATTAAATTATTCCAGGATAATTAAGAAAAATCATCATAATTAATTGGTAAATCTTTCTGGACTCAAACGAAAAATCTCAGAAATTTCAGAATTTCAGAAAAATGATGGAATATCCCTGGGTTCTCAAAGATTCGAGACAATTCCCTGAGAATAAAAAATATTTTTCCCCATGCAGGAGACGAATGGGGTCACAGTATTTATTCTTTCTTACTTCACGCATCTCCTTCATTCTTACGAACAATTATCCCCGGTAATTGCTATACTTTGAGGTGAATTTTGTGTTGAAGGGAAGGATGGAAGTTCTTGAAGACCCTCGTGTCCCTTCGAAGGACACCTCTTGTCTCCTTCAAAGAGAGGACGTAGAAACTCATGGGCTATTTAATTTAAATAACTTTCCATGAGAATCAGTTTCTAGAGGAGAGAGAATTTTCATTGGAATTCACCCCAGCATTTTTCTCCTGGTCAATTCGATACACCCGAAAAAATGTTTTCTCGAATTAATCCAGAGGTTCAACTAGAGTAGAATTGAATTAAATCGAAAATCTAGATCATCCCAGCCGATTTTTCGAGTTGAGTCGAGTAGAAATAAATTCTTGGGTCAATCCACTAGCGGATTGATCGAAGAAACTTGTTTTGGTGTACTTGAATCAATCAAGTCGAGTCTAACTTGATTCAAATGATCGATCTGACATGAAATAAATCGATTCCCAAAACAATTCGGATTAATACTGAAAATAATTCGAAACCGCGGACGGATCGGGAATTGACAAGTGGCAATTCTCGACTTAATCCAGCGGATTGATCCGGGAAATTTTTTTTTTGGTTTTATCTACGTCGGGCTGACGATGTAGAGACGATACGTTCATCCATGACGCCTCCAGTTGACCGGAAGTTCACCGATACCGTAATGTTCGGTTCTTCCCGTACCTAAAGCGCCATTGGCCGGAAGCAACGTACCACGTTATGTGCATCGTTGTCTTTCGGTTTGAAAAGAGAAGAAGTGGAAGAAGGGAACGATGCTTAAACTCCTTTCCCACCCAATCCCAAGATAATTATCCCACAAAAGACCATCGCAGAGCGAAAAACATATTAATGTTCATTTTTGAATGGTTTTCTGAAGACTTTGCGATAACTTTATTTGAGAACTTCAAAGCTGCAGCTTGGGACTTTCGGGACTCAATTCGAGAGTTTTCTGTAATTCAGGAAGATTAATATTGAGTCGGAAAAACTTGAGTCAAGTTCTGGAACTATCGATTTGAATTCTTTTGGATTGAAAAAAAATCTTAGGATGGGTCCTCAAGACAATTTTTAAGACTTGAGACTTTTCTTTAATTCAAAAAAAAAATTGAATCAAGTTGGAAAGTCCTCGATTAAAAACTCAAAAAATCTCAAACAAAATCCCGAAATTTTCAACTCGAGACTGATCTCTACTCTAAAAAAATTCAAATTGACTCAGAAAGTCTTAAATCAAGTTCTCAACCTCAAAGTTTATTTTCGGGTGCATTCACTCCACGAGGAGACCAAAACGAATGCATCAAAGGCTCAGGGCCATATGCCCTAGAGTTTTCCAAATTCGCTGAAAAAACTCTAGTCAATTCGCCCTAAAAACCCCTAAACCCCCGATTCCTCACCCGCCAAACGGAACGGATAGATGAATTTGAGTATACTCCCACGAAAAACGGAATGGGAAACGATTTTCGCCAGTAATCGGACCAAATCGCCAGTCATATTCAGAGGGAAAGGATCAAAAAAGCGAGAGGCAC